CTGGGGCCGTGGGGCGGCCTCCGGAAGGACCCCCGGCACCTGCGCTTCACCCCGCAGCCGGAACGTAGATACCGCGACGGGCAGCCCCGGCGCTTCCCCTCGCCCTCCTCCATCCTGCGCCTTTCCGTTGTCATGGCACGTCCCGAGGGCTTTCCATTCGGAAACGTTCGGGCACGATCCGGAGAAACTGGTCTGGGAAAAATGACCGAATTGGGGGGGAAACCCAAGCAGGTGGCAGTGCCTGAGGTTAAAACGGGCAGGGGTATCGAGTAGGCTCCGTACGTGCTTCATCTGCCTGGCTCTGCTTGCTGCTCTTGCTAGTGACCAGGGATGGCTGGAGAACAGTCATGTTTTGAGGATTCAGAGTCATGTTCTGAGGTTACAGAAAAGCAGGAAGGATTTTAAACGTTGGAGGATGGGGCTCTAAATTAAAAGATGCAGATTGGATTGCATAAATGACCTAGAAAAGAATGAAGTTCAGGAAAGAGAAATGCCAGGGAGGAATATTCAGCCATAAAAGTATAGGTTGGGGAGTGAGCAGTTGTGTAGTGTTTTTGTAGAAAAGAATTTGGAAATCTTAATGAATTATATGAGCAGCATCTTTCAACCATGTCATACATATGAAAAGGGCAAGTGTAATTTGGGGTATGTAGCAGGAGTGTAGGTTGCAAGACAGGGGAACTAAGTCATCTACTGCAGTCATCACTCCACATCTCAGCTGGATTTGTGACCAATTTTGGACACTGCACTTCAAGAACTGGAGGAGAGAGAAAATAATTTTAAAAGGCCTAGAAAACGTAACTGTGGGGAAAATTAGGGGTTGTGCAGCCAAAAGAAGAAACTTCCCAGCGGGGGAATTGGAAGGTCTGAAAAAAAGGAAGGGAGTAATCTGTTCTTCATGTTTGTATTCTAACTGGAGAGGACTATACAGGGACATAAATTGTAGCAAGAAATATTCAGGCTAGGCATTAAGAAAAAAAAATCTGAATGGGATGGAGAGTAGAGCACTAGACAACAGTTTATACAGGGAGACTGTTACAGCTCAAGCACTGGAGATCTTCAAAAACTTTTGGCAAACATCAAGAATGACATAGACCTGGCTGTGACAATAGCTGTCTTGAGGGAGAAGGAAAGGCTAGGTGAGGTCTCTTTTAGCTCTTTTTCTGTTTGCCTGAGTGCTGGTGTGCAGCATGGTGCTGGTGTGCAGCACAGCCCAGTTCTCCTACACTTTTTCACTATGCTGTGTCTATTTTCCCCCAATGAAGCTCCATTATAATTTGTCCCCCTGCTCACAACAGTGAGGCCTCTAGCAATACACAATTTGGTGACACTGCCTATCTAGCAGCTTGGCAGAGTTTAGCAAAACCACAACCCTTCCTGTCAATGCGGTGGCTCCTTGCACCTGAGCATGGTGTGAGAAGTCATGGGAGGTGGTAAGAAATGCCAAAAGTGAACCCATGTGTTTCTGTCAGTGTGCTAGCAAATACTGACTCTAGAAAGCATATAGAGAGAAGAAAATTTGGGTTTGGCTTTGGGTTAGCATCTAAGAGGTTCAGGGATATGCACTTGTTAAGTCTTTCTCTTTCCAGAAGAAATCTGAGTCCTCCAAACTAATTTTTCATTAACTTATTGTTATGACTACAAATGTTTGTGGAGGGCCTGTCTGCATTGCAGAGAGGAGATGCTGCTGCACCAGATCAGATGAGCATGCAGACTGAGTACTAGATGGTCTTCTCTTTCTGGGAGGGTATCCCCAAGGGGTACCACCTGCAGAACCTTCAGGAGGAAAGGTGCTGAAATGGAGATGTGCTGTTGGCAAGGAAACAGTTTTCCGAGACTCATGGATCACTGAGATATTACTCTGCATTCCCAAGGTCTTAATCTAATGGATGAAACAGACTAACATTACCTTTACTATCACTGCAAGCCTGTTATTCTTGAGTATTTTTCACTTCAGCATTACAGGTGGCGGTAGCAAAGCCATCTGCTTTTTGGTTTCCTGGTAAGGAGGACAGCCAAAGATTCTCGGTGTGGCAATGCGTGCTTCTCACAGTCAACTCTCATTTATGGCAAGGGTATTTTGATATGTCTTCCTCTTCCTCTCTGTTTTACTCAGCACTTTGGGTCAATTTATAAATGAAAGTAATCAGGGATGTAATGGAGAATGTTACTGCTCTGAAGACACAAAGGATTTTGGAAATCTGACTAATGAAATCCAGTATGGTCTGTCTTTGCTTTAAACTAAGGCATTTCTCTAAAATAAGGTTAATGAAAGGAAATAATATCTTATTGCACCAGACTGATATAATTAAGAGACAAAAAAAGCATGTTTTTCCTCTCACACATTGTATCCACAAATGCACAGCTGACAACCACTGCCAGTTGTAACTTTCCTCTTGCTGCTTGAGCAAAGCGGCTCCGCATCAGCTGGAGCTTTCCATTGCCTATACGGCAATGAAGAGGTCTAGTCCATTAAGTGGGAAGGAGAGAGAGAAGAGCAAGAGTTTGCAAGTAATCAATTTGTCAGAGAAAGAAAAAAAGGAGAGAGAGAGAGAAGAAACTGGCTGTTGTATTCTCACTTCTTCTGACTTCTCTAAGAACATCGCTCCCTAAGTGCTTCTCTCAGTAGAAAACTCAAAAGCTTTGCAGCAGAGGTGATACAGAAACGGAAAAAAAATACCATGTTGTCTGCTTTGTGACTGGCAAAGAAATACTATTTCTTGACCCAGGAATGTTATTATGTGTCGTGCTGGTGTTCGCTTCCTCCTCAGTGACAGGGAGTTAAGTGAGAGGGGATGACAGCCCAGAGCTGACTGATGAAGTTGCTGTCCTGGGTATCTGTGCCCTCACAGTGGCAGTGGCTGCATCATTTCTGATTCAGCTCCGGGACTCTCCTGATTCAGTGATATCTTTCTGATATCTGGAGGACGTGGCCCAGCAGCTGCCTGTTCCTTGGGCACGGGGAGACACCCAAAGGTGACAGCCTTGTGAGCTGTCTCCAGTCAGGCCAGCCTTGCTGAGCAGAGCCCCAGGGCCCTCAGCTGCAGTGCCCAGCTGAGGGAAGGTCCATGGCAGGGAGTTTGTTCTTTCCAGCTAGTCCCAAATTGTGCCTCCCCACTAGCTCTCCTGGGAGAGGATGGAGACAGTAGGGTCAGCCACCTCTCAGGACACTGATTTTTGCCTAGGTTAATAGTTCCCTTAGACCGACATGGCATTTTTTTGGTGTGCTTGTAGAGGAGGTTTGTGTTTACAGACTAAAGGACGTGATGTCAAGCGACCCCACTCCCAGGTGGGCCTTGACAGCCGGCACACCCAGGCCTGGCCTCTGTGGGGCACCAGGAAAAGCTGAGGGAAAGCAGGAGAAGGGAGGAACATGAACTTCCTCCCATCACCCTGGCACTGCCATGACATGAATCAGCCCCTTACATATTACAGCAACTTCAGGATTGTTCTAATTTATACTCCTGGAAAAAACAAGCCACTTACTTAGAGGAACATACTGTTCTCTGGTGTCTCTCCCTCCCACTCAAGCATGTTCCTCCCTCCCTCCGCCTGCTCCGGAGGTTGCACGGCAGGCAGGGAGCTGGTGAAGGGCTCGCAGCTCATGACTCCTTGCTACTGCGCTAGGCAATTTGAAGCTGACTGTTGGAAAAGACTTTAGTACCAATGGCACCGTCTAGATTTTCATCCCTTTTGAACATGTCATCAGGGAGATATGTAAGATCTTACCTGAAGATACAGCCTCACAGTCAGCTGCCATTTATTTCAGTGAGAGTTTTATCCCACCATATCCCCCAGCTGTTATTGAAGAGCCTGGCATGCTGAAAATGTTTTGTTAGGAAATCAAGCAAATAACATACTTGCCTGATAGAAGGAGTTGGAAGAAGGGTCACCAAATTGTGTTCTGACTTCAGAGTTGTGTAACTGTAAGTAGCAACTTGGTATTCCTGAAAAAATCCATTTCTGGGTTAATGAACCTATCACCTTTAGAGAGAGGCACTGTGTGG